TTCTGTCGGGAAAGGCTTCGGATCTCTCCCCCTGTCCCAGCTGCCGGCTGGGCGGGGGGAGGGGAAAAGCCATGCGGCCATGAGGTAGGCCCAGCCCAAGGATGGAAGGGTGGAAGAGACCAAGAGACATCAGGCAGCTATTCCCCCCCAGGAGGGAGAGAGGGAGAGCCAGCATCTGAATTCAATAGCAGCGGCGCTGGCCCATGAGGAGAAAGGGAGGGAGTGCCCGGCCGGGGCGGCGTGGGAGTTCCAGAGCTCTGGGACAGGCAGAGACTGAAATTTTTAACCCTTTTCTTGCATGATTGAGACCTTGCAAAATGCTGATCCTCCTGGAGCTGAATGAGAAGAGAGATAAGCGATAAGAGGGAATGGGCCATGAGGGAAGTGCAGAAGACTCTTGAGTGGGGGAGAGATGACGGAGTGGCCTTTTGGCTGGACTTTTCTTGTGTGGCCATAGACTGAACCAATTTTTTTCCTGTGACACAGAGACTGCACTTAGGGGGAGGCAGTGCCTCAGAACCAGGAGGGTTCGTTGTGGGTACCCCTCGGCCCCAGGGGGTGAAAAATTGCGGGGGACAGATGTCCCAAAGGAGAGACTGTGCCTTTTTTTTGAGTGAGACAAGGCTCCTTAAAAGGCAACCCTAAAAGCAGCTCTGGTCCATGCACTGTGGTGAGAGCACTGGGCATGGAAGGAAGGTGTCACGATGGCAAAAGGATTTTCTGGGCGGTGCTGAGTGACATGGGAACACACGAGGTTTCAGCGTGTTTCCAGGGGAAGCCTATGGTGCAAGAAGGACTCCTCTCCTCTTCATGAACTGAGGATTGAGTATTCTAAAGGATGATGCCAGACTGAGAGTTGGTGATTTTGGGGGAATGTATTGCATTGGGAAATTTGGTTGGGGGGAGAGGAAGAAAGTGCTTTTGTAAGGTTTTTTCATTTTTTCCCTTATGTTTTTTTTTTTCTTTCTTCTTTTCTTGTAGTTTAGTTAATAAAGTTTTCTTTATTTCTAAGCAGGAGCCTGCTTTGCTTATTCCTGGTCACATCTCACAGCAGACACCAGGGAGAGGGTATTCTCATGGGGGCACTGGCTCTGTGCCAGGGCTAAACCATGACATTCAGCTTTGAAATTTCATGAAGCTCAAGACACTTCAGATGAAGCACAACCACAAGAAGAAATAGTGCACATCACTGCATCGGGAGGAATTCCAGCATGGATGTTTTCGGCAGCGGAAGCAGCAAAGCATTTTCTGCGATCTTTTGATACAGTCAAGGAAGCATGATCACAAGAATTTCAGATTCTGGATTTAAGAGCAAGACCAAAGACTTCATCAAGGCAAAGGATGTGGACTTTGGAGACACCAATGTGTCAACTCCACTGTGCGTGCAAATACCAATGGAGTTTCCAGAAGAGGAAGAGAAGCCAATGAAGACAATGGATTGGAAACACATCAGAAAAGAGTTATCAAAAGATAAAGATCTATTGCAAGGTTTGGAAGATCTCATAATGCCAGTGACATACGATGCACAGGGTCAGAATCCAAGGTGGGACAGAATTGATCACGATGTGATCAAAGAATTAGCAAAGGCCATCAGAGACAATGGGCTGAATTCACCATATTTTAAGCAGCTCTTAAGGGGACTTTCAATATGTACGATTTTACACCTTATGACATCTGATGCCTTGTGTCAATGATTCTCACCGACATGCAAAATTTCATATGGGACAGAAGGTGGAGAAGGTATCTCACAGAGTTGAGGAATGGATACCAAGGTGGGCCAAATGCCAACCTCACAGTGGCACAGTTATCAGGGGATCCTGCAGATGACAATCCAGGAGAGCAAAGCAGTGAGATTGCCAAGGCAAGTGTTGAATGACATCAAGGAAGCAGCGTGAAGAGTGATTCTGCAGATTGCTCCAGCAGGAGTTCCAAACGTTCCCTTCTCATATATCAGACAAGGTCCCACAGAACCATATTCACCATTTCATAGATCGGTTCACACAAGCTGTGGATCGACAGGTGACTGATGAGGCAGTGAAGAGACCTCTCCTGGAAAGTCTGGCCTTCGGCAATGCCAACCTGGATTGTCAACGGGTCATCAGCACAGTCCCTGGACAGCCATCGTTGGCAGAGTTGGTGGAGGCATGCAGTAAAGTGGGAACACCTCAGCATGTTGCATCGATCGTGAGGGAAGAGTGTGGAGAGTTTTGTTCAGACGTGGCTTGAGGGGAAAGGCCATGATCATATACAGCTGGTTAAGCAGTAAAAATGCAGCTGTAAGCAGTAAGTTCTCAGCCTTCTGATTAAAAGGCAAGGACACTGTGCCCTTGAGCAGATGACTGTAAGACAACAACAACAGGATGTAAAAACAGGAACTAGTCTCAACAGAAAACCACAAGCATCTTGAGAATGTAGCCACAAAGGAGGAGCTGACATTTAATCTGTAGCCAATGATGAGCTTAGCTTTTGCAATATGTATGAGCTTGATTAACGCTATTATAAAAGCATGTAAGCCGGATCAATAAATTTGAGACTTGTTGATCATCATCGGATGTGCTTGTCTCCCTTCGCTCCGTCAAATGGTGATCCCGACGTGATATGGCGATAGACCACAGACAAGCGAAGACCGGGTCAGGTCCCGAAGCATCCGGGACGGCAGATGGGCGCAGAGAAAAAGGGAGCTGAGACGTGCCATGCCCTGGGTGTCTGTATAGACAATCCTGGCCGATACATGCTGCCGAGACCTTGAAGAACTGCAAGAGCGCTGATGATTTAGGTATGGAAAGGCAAGCAGCATATGATTTATTTACTGCCTTTTTACAAAAATGGCAGGTTAAGGGAATAGATTTACAAAAGGAGTTACCAGGGCTCTTAGCCTATGGGTATGCTAAGGGAGTTTTTATTAACCCCCATACTGTTCATGAGCTAATGTTGGAGAATTTTGCTCAGACATGGCTTGAAGGAAAAAAGGCCATGAAAATGTACAGCTGATGGAAAAGTAAAAGGCAGCTGAAAGCAGCAATTCCCAAGCCTGCTTCTGTAAATAACTAGGTTCTCAGGCACATTTTTATAAACAGCAGGGTTCTCAGACAGTTTTCTCATAACAGGTGAACATTCTGTCTTTGTCTGTTTTGGGAAAGTAAAAGTAAGTTTTGAGAAGACAAATCTTGGTTTCAATAAACAAACCACAGGTATTAAAAACAAGAGGGGTTAGAGTTTGATCTGTAGCCTATGATGAGCTCGGATTTTGCAATATGTATGAGCTTAATTAACACTGTTATAAAAAGTGAATGGTTGAATCAATAAACTGGAGCTCGATGCTGATCAATGAAGATGGGTCGTCTCCCTTCACTTCAATAAGCTAACAGTGGCGTAAGCTTGGAGATTCGTTGTGGTAGGACCTTTTGGGTAGAACAGTCGTTGCTTTGGCGCTTGTGGTGCAACACCTGCGATCATGAACACACATGGGGCAATGACTGGCAAAGGGAACTAAGGAGACAGACAGGGCAAGATGCAGCCTTGGCTTTAGATCTTTACGAGTCTCCTGAACAGAAGATTTTGGCTTACTATTGGTGGGAGGTGCAGTATATTCTAAAAAGGGTTAATGTTCAAAGTAGGTCGTACATAGCCTCCACAAGGTGTAGAAAATTGGTGCCCTTAACACAGCATTCTGTTGTAGAACCCCTTAAAGGAGATCCTGATAAAGCATTAGACCAATGGATTAAGGAACTACAGGAGTGGAGACTACAAGTGTCAGGAGCAGTAAAGTTAGGAGCGGTAAAGTTAAAGGTTGATAAGAAAAAGAAAGCGAGAAAGAAAACAGAAAAATGAGGCTTATTTTTGTTATACTGCTCAGTGCTGTGACGGCAGGAGCAGTAGAAGTAACGCGCTTTAATCAACCAAGAGATAATATATGGATAACGCTTGCTAATCAAACTAACCCATCATCGCTTTGTCTTAGCCTTGGAGGGGTTACTAACCCATTTTGAACATGCTTGGTGGAACTCCCAGTGTGGTCTCCTCGGGAATTTTGCAGTCTGATTGATAACCAAACTCTATGCGTGCACAATATGACAAACATTAGGTTACCCAAGCAACAAGGGTACAGTGCAGGTCAAAGTGACGGTTACCGCCAATGCTTAATAATCTTATCACTTAATACTACCTTGTACTCTCCTCCAGAGGAGTTGGATCTCTTCGGAAGTGCAAATGCCAGTATGACTAACACCTCAAATGGCAAATGGTTCAGTTTCGATCCCTTACATCCCCAGAATTTAAATCAGCATAGAGGAACATGGGCTACCCTAGATTCATCCCTGAATTTGGGTACAGTGTCTCACCAGCTTTACAGCCAATGTAATGGCACTAACATCACAGCACCGATGAAATTACCCACAGGGATGTTTTTAATTTGTGGTGACAGAGCTTGGAATGGTATACCAGCCAGGCCACAGGGTGGACCTTGCTATTTGGGAAAATTGTCATTGTTTCACTCCAATGTGTCTTTATTAATGCAATTGAGTCAAAATTCAAGCAGGGAGAGACGCAGCCTGCATGACTTAGACTGCAGCCAGACAGGAAACCCACAGTTTTGGAGTGAGTTAAAACAAGTGATAGTTTCAACTATCTTGCCAGGAGGAGCTGCAAATAAAGCTATGAACTTAGCAAAGCAATTGGGATGCTGGGCCAAGGATGAGTTAAACAAGACGTCACAAATTTTAGATATGCTAACCGCAGATGTGCAAAGTGTTAATCATGCTGTTTTGCAAAATAGAGCTGCTATAGATTTTTTGCTTTTAGCACAAGGACACGGATGTGAAGAGTTTGAGGGAATGTGCTGCATGAATTTGTCCGAATTTGTTCTGCTTGCTTTTGCTCCTGCTTATTAGCTAGTTCTAGCTAAACAGTCCAAATTCCTTCCTGGACTGTTTCTCCTCTCCTGTTTCTGTGACCATCACGAACCTGCTCCAGACTGGGACCTGGGAACACCGAGGGTTTGCACCGTTTGGCTGCAGCAGGTGCCCCAGCACTGGAGGGACTAACAGAGCAAACGCCCCCAAAAGAGACTTTCTGATTTTGTCACCTTTTTCAGAGCGGTGTCATCCGGTATTGTTCATTTTGTGCTGGGGGATGCTGTGCCTGTTAAATAAACAGGTTCTTTCCACTTCTCGTTGAGGAATTCTTCCCGAACCAGTTGGGGGGAGGGGCCGTGTGGGTTTGCTTTCTGGAGGGGCCCTCCTTTGGAGGAGATTCTCTACCAAATTTGCCCTAAATCAGGACAGGGGGTTATGAAGAAAAGATGGAGGAATTAGGGCGTGTCTTGTCCTTCTTTCTTCTTCTTGTCATCCATTTTCTGTAGTGATGTTGGCACTTTGGGATTGGTTTTTGGTGAAGGTGCACTTGCTAATATGGGTGAAAGGTATTGGGAAATAAAGGTAAATATGATGTACGTAGTTTTTTGTATAAAAATAGACAACCGCCCAGTGGGAGGTCAGAGTGCCCTTGGCTGCCTTGCTAGTCAGACCTCTGTCGGGCTGGAAGACAATTTTGTAGATAAGAAATAATAAACAATACTGAAGAATGAAAATCTGAAGAGTCCTAGACTTGTCCTTTGAAGCGCGGGCTGTCCCAAGGCTGTCCTACGTGTGACCGTGCAGAGACAAACAGCCGGACCAGTCGCTTCAGATAACCTTTTTGCATCCTTCACAGGTGTTTGCATAAACGAAGTTGTGAAGCAGAAGTGGACCAGCCCACATCATCTTCACACTGCCTCTCTAGAGCTTGCCTGCTCTAGAGCTGTCAAGATGGAGGAATCTGGGCGTGTCTTGTCCTTCTTTCTTCTTCTTGTCATCCATTTTCTGTGGTAATGTTAGCACTTTGGGATTGATTCTTGGTGAAGGTGCACTTGCTAATGTGGGTGAAAGGTATTGGGAAATAAAGGTAAATATGATGTACGTAGCTTTTAGTATTAAAAGAGACGACCGCCCAGTGGGAGGTCAGAGTGCCCTTGGCTGCCTTGCTGGTGAGACCTCTGTCGGGCTGGAAGAAAATTTTGTAGATAAGGAATAATAAACAACATCAAGGACTGAAAATCTGGAGAGTCCAGACTCATCTTTTGAAGCGTGGACTGTCCAAGGCCATCCTACGTGTGACCGTGCAGAGACAAACAGCCGAAGCGGTCAGTGGTTGCCTTCTTCAATATCATATTCTGTCACTTCATCCTGGCCTCTCTCCTATCCATGAGTTTGATACAGAGACCACGTTCTCTGTAACATGAAGCAGAATTCCCAGTCACACAGGAGCCACTGGGCATGCTGCCTCCCCTGAGCTGGCACTCATGGCCAGGAGGGCACAGTAATGCAGCCCCAGGGAGAAGGGACATGGGGCAGGATGGGCTCCAGAGCTGAGATCCCAGTGGTCAGCCTTGGTCATTAGCTCTGATCAACTTTCATTCCCCTCCCTGGAACCCCATCCTAAATCCCAGCCTCCCCACCACCATCAGCACAGAGAGTTCCATCTCTGGAGGGGGGGATATAAGGTGGGATATAGTGCCTTCCCTCCAGGAAAGCCTGAGCAAGAGTATGAAATACTTCCCATTTCCCCTTCCAGGATTTCTGCTTAGGTAAAGGTTTTCCACTGGGATTTGAAGGACTTGAGTGCAGGTACCCAGCTAGGAAAACTGCTTCAAGGCAGCATCACCAGAACAGCCACTGGTACCCTGCCCTTCACACCCAGGACCTCCTTTGCTCTGAACCCAGGCTCTGGCAAGGATTTCCATCTGGAAGTTTCCCTTCCACAGGCTGCTTCAGCAAAGCTGCTGGCACCTCACAAAGATGCTGATGTGGAGTGAGGGGGTCACTTTGTGGAGAGGGAAGCTGCAGACAGTGGGCCAGACTCTCAGAGGTCAGGGGCACCGAGCAGGGGCAGTCCCTTTCCCCAGCACCAGCGGAGGGTCTTACTCTGCAGGAAACCATGGATGAAGGAGATCCTCTGGCAGCGGCTGCTCCAGCACAGACTCCCCCTCCTTGCTCCCGTGGCTGGAAGAGTGCAAGGTTTGCATTAACTCCTTCTGGAGGGATTAGACCAACGCTGAGGTTTGTGCAGCAGGGTTTGCTGAGCCAGGGCTGGCTCTGGGGCACTGCTGTGCCTTCTGCCCCCACACCAGGGCCAGCAGAGCAACCACAGGAGAGGAATGCCCCAGAATCCCCCTGCTGGAGCCAGGCAGCCAACATCCCCCTGGCACTGCTTCCTATTCTGCCTGCCAGCCCCAGCATCCAGCACAGCTCAGGGAGCTTGTGGTGGCCCCACTGGCCGGGAAGCACCACAGGGGCCAGTCCGTGCATGCAGCCTCAGGCTTTTCTTGCTGGATTTTGTGAAGCTGAAGCTTCCTCTTGCATTTATTTGTGACTACACTCTTCCTGAGCAGCCACCGGTTCATGGAATATCCTGAGTTGGAGGAGACCCACAAAGGTTATTAAACCCAATGGCTGCTCAGAAATGGCATGCCCAAAACCCACACCAATCATGCTTGACCAGCACTGCTTCAGTACTGTCACTTACTCCCAACGTGCCAAAAACAAGAACCTGGCCTGGGACAGGGGCTGCCACGAGGATTTGCTCCTCCTCATGGACTGGACTTCCCCTTGTGCCAGGAGCTCTCAGATCAGCCAGCTGCTGTGGCAGCTGCCCTGCTGCCACCCCACTTTATCAAGCAATGGCCAGGCCTCTTTAGAGAGCGCACACCACCAGGATCCCTAGTAATCCCAGCTGGAGCACAGTCAGGAGATTAACCAGGTCTGACTAAATATATCTGTGGTGCAGGCAGCTCCTTCATCCCCACCCACTGCAGGCAGATCCCTGCTCCAGGCAGGCTCTGCTTACCCTGTGCAGGAGGTAATTATAGGAGACAGGCTCCCAGTGAGCCTCCCACCGGAAGGGTTTGAAAGCAATGCATGGCAGTTTCACACCCTCTCCATTTGTTTTTGTCAGCTCCTCAACCACCAGGCTTCATCCCACCTCTGATGCCCATTATGGCCTGTAGATTTTAGTTGCCCCTTGCTCCCAGGGAACAAGCACAATTCCTGAAGGAGGCATTCCTCCCACCCCTGGCCAGCCATGTCAGGTCCCAGGGCAGAGCACACAGGCTCCATCCTGACCACACCATACTCAGCAGCAGCCTGACATCCCCAGGCCACAGAAGCACTTAATGAGGCAGAAATTTCATAAAGTGTCATTCTTTACACTGCTTTCCAGATACAAGACTTCCTCAGGATCCCAAGGCTGCCACTCAGGAAAAGTTGCTGGGTGTTCCCTCACCAGAGCAGCACCAACAGAAAAGGATAATCACCTATGCAGCTGCAGGAACCCTTGTGCCACTGCCAGCAGCACTCAGGTCTCTTCTACAGCGCCAGGAGTGAACCCAGATGTTAAGTGCCAGATGTGATAACAGGTCTCAAAGGACAGGAACTCTGACCAAAACTTTCCATGGGCAGCTCTGTGGGACCCAACAGCTCTGCAGGCAGACCCCAGCTGTGCAGTGCCATAAAGGAGATGGAAATCTCAGTATCTCATAGGCCAGAGGAGGAATAAATACCCCAAGACCCCCCACTCCCACCCTGCCCAAGACAGGAGCCCTTAGCTCCTGGGGGCTGAGGCATGGCTCCAGGGACAGCACAGACCCAGCTGTGTGGTCTGAAATGTGTACACAGCTCCCCATACTCACATTTTGTGGATAATTGTGATGAAGACACTGCAGTCCTGGAGCTGGGACAGATCATTGACGGGATCAGGACAAACCTTGGTGCTGTTAACCTAGAAATGGGGTGGGACAGTCAGAAACCAAGACAACACTGTGCTGTGCCACTCATCACCTCTAGTCCTGGCAGGGGACAGCAAGACTGGTCTGGGGGTGAAAGTAAATCCACCCCTTTAAACCACCCCTTCCCAGGGAACAGATGAACATGATCCCCACAGCTCCACATCTGGGGGTCTGGCACAGGTCCCATTTATCACACTGCTGGAGCCCTCTTCCTGGAGAGGCTGAGAGACCTGGGGGTGTTCAGCCTGAAGAAAAGAAGGCTCCAGGGAGACCTTAGAGCCCCTGCCAGTGCCTAAAGGGAGTTCAAAAGAGCTGGAGAGGGACTTTGCACAAAGGCCTGGAGTGACAGGACAAGAGGAAATGGCTTCCCACTGACAGAGGGCAGGGTTAGATGGGATATTGGGAGGAAATTCTTCCCTGTGAGGGTCGTCCAGAGAAGCCCTTGGCTGCCCTATCCCTTGAAGTGTTCAAGGCAAGGCTGGACATGGTTTGGAGCAACTAGTCTAGTGAGAGGTCTCCCTGTCCATGGCAGGGCACTCCAGCTGAATGAGTTTAAAACTCCCTTCTAACCCAAACTATTCTGAGTTTTTGCTTGGGCACAGCAGTGCTTGTGAAAGGAGAGACAAGAATGTTGACTCCATGTTCAGAAGGCTTGATTTATTATTTTATGATATATATATTACATTATAACTATACTAAAAAGAAAAAGAAAAGGTTTCCTCAGAGGCTAGCTAAGCTAAGAATAGAATAGAATAGAAAAGAATGATAACAAAGGAGCTCTCTTGGACTCTGTCCAAGATAGCTTGGTCCTTGATTGGCCATTAATTATAAACATTCAAGATGGCGATCAAGAATCCACCTGTTGCATTCCATAGCAGCAGATAACCATTGTTTACATTCTTTTTCTGGGGCCTTAGCTTCCCAGAAGGAAAAATTCTAAAGAAAGGATTTTTAGTGAAAAAGATGTCTGCGGCACAACAACACCTTTGCAGTACAGCTGCTGCCTGCTTCAGGCTCAGCTCCATCTCCCAGGCAGTCTCCATGACCCATGACCACACCAAGCCATTCCAGCATTTCTGGTTGCTCAGCAGGAAGGGTGAGCAAGGCTACTCCTGCAAACACCCCACCTGCCCAGGAATAGTAGGAACTGGACTACCCTAGGACCTGCCCCAGCCACAATCCCTCCCTTGACAAACCCCAGCATCGTGCCCCTCCAGCACAGGAAGGGGAACTTTCCTAATCAAGGAGAGCAGCAACTCTTGTGCCCTGAAGAGACATGGTGGCCAGCCTATCAGGTCCCTGCCCACATCTAAAAACAACAAAAAAGGTAAAGTATAGTAACTAAGTTCCTAAATGATTTAGGCTCAGCACCAGGCATTTGTGCCCACCAAGGAAGGATGTGTCCCTGCATCTGGCCAGCTGTGCAGGAGCAGCCGGCACCCTCCTGCTTCCCCACAAGCTCAGAGTGGGGAGCAATGCTGAGCAGCAGCCAGGTCCACTCCCACAGATTAGGATTCTGACAAGGGGTCAGTGGAAAACTGCTGCTCGGGCTCCTCATTCTCCTGCTGTGCCTCGCCTCCAAATGTCACTAACATTTCTTGCCCAGCAAGGCAGTGGCCAAGCCATTGAAGAGCTGCCAGCTCCCCTTGCACTGCTGCTAGTGAAAGAACCACCTGCTGGGGGCACAGGGAGCTCACAGCTGCATTGGGAGGGAGCAGGGATGAGCTGGGATCACTGCCAGCTCCCCTTCACCTGGCAGTGATCCCAGCCACCTTTGCCTCCATGCTGGCTGCCCCCGGTGCCACCCTGGCAGTCTTCCAGGGGAGGGGACTGCTGGGAGCCAAAAAGTCACCCAGATGAGGAGGGGGCTGCTCAGCCTGTATTGCACCTGGACACCCGCACCGTGACGGGCCAGGAGCCTGGCTGGGATCTGCAGCTGCTCAGCACAGCCAACCAGGCACGGTGGCTTTGGGGACTACAGAGCTCCCGCCGCCGTCAGTCCAGCTGGGACACATGGGATCCTCAGCAGGACAGGGCCTCCCTCCAATTTGGCTAAAACCCAGCTCCCTGTCCCACGGCTGGGTCACTCCTGCAACACTCAGCAACTCCTATCGTTCCCCCGGTGGCACAGCCAAGACTTCTCTCTAAAAATCCATCCAAAGGCACCGGACAAAGCACTCGAGCAGCACTGGATGCAGACCCTCAGGGGAACCCGTCGAGCCGGGTTTTACCAGAACCAGTCTGCGAACACACTGGTGCCTGGTGTGAGATCTGCACGTGCATGGCCTGGTGACACGGGCCACCCTGAGCGGCTGAGACAGCGCCATGACCCTCCGTGAGGACGTGCCATTCGTGATGGCAGGCGGGAAGCGGTCGGGGAGCGCCTT